TTAGCTCTATCTGTTATATTAACAACAAAGTTCTCCAAAGTTCCCACGTTACTAAGTCAATCCTCCCTCCAAAAGTAACATTACAACCATTACCAATATTCCAAACAAGGCTTTACCGCACCTCGTTCCATACTTGAGAAATATCCTTCCAAACATATGAACTTCTCGTGCAATTAATGGACTCGGGGACCAATTTCACCCACTTATATTTCGAGCGTAACACTCTAGCCCACAACTGATCAGAATTAACCACCAATTTATAAGCTAGTTTCATGAGAAAAGCTTCATTCTGAACGTTTAATTTTCTTATGCCCATGCCACCCTTAACTATTGGTTTACAAATGTTCTCCCAATAAACAAGAGGTACTCCGCCTCCCGACTCGGTACGACCCTAAATAAAACCCCAAATTAACTTTTCTATCTCATCACATATCCCTTTCGGAAGCATCGTTGATTGCATTGAATAAGAATGAATAGTTGATAGTACTGCTTTCGCCAAAGTAATTCTCCCAGCCAAGGACAGAGATTTTTCCTTCCACCCTGTGAGCTTATCATGGACTCTCGAAACAATATAACTATACTAAGATTTCATAATCCGATAATGTAAAAGAGGGACTCCAAGATACTTACCCAAATTTTGAACTTCCTGGAAGTCGAAATATGCACTAATGAAAATTTTCAAACCCAAGTCCATTTTCTTTGAGTAATAAATAGTAGTTTTCTGGATATTGATTTTTTGGCCCGATAAATTGTAGAATAACTCCAATATTCCCCGTATTACATTACATTACTCGATAGAGACCTCAACAAAGAGTACTAAGTCATCTGCGAAGAATAGATGGGAGAGAACGAGCCCCATTATGAAGGCCATTCAGACGATCATATATTTTTCTCAAGATCAATTTTGATAGCCATATATCCAATTTTACCTTTCTTCAATCTCATGGACTGGACTACCTCTTGCACAACAATAATATTATCAATCGATCTGTTAGGAACAAAATTTGTTTGAGTTTCCGAGATCTAGTGATTCATCAAAGGTTTCAGCCGATTCACAATAATCTTTGTGACTAGCTTATATAATACTGAGCACAGGCTAATAGGTCGAAAGTGATTAAACGACTCCGGTGATTTAATTTATGGGATAAGTACCAAAAGAGTTCGATTGAGTTCATTATCAATAGCACCTCCTGCAAATATATTCTGAATCATTCGACACACACTAAATTGTATTGTATTCTAATTCTTATTATATTCTGAATCATTCGACACACACTAAATTGTATTGTATTCTAATTCTTATGGAAGAAAAGAACATGAAGGCCATCCACTCCAAGTGCCTTTAGCAAACTCATGCTAAATAACACATCACATATTTCTTCCATAAATAATGGTCTCGTAAGACCCGCAAATCTGACTCAGGGGTTTTGGAAAATATCCCTTAATCGGATAAACATTTCCATCTACCTTGCTACTGGTGAATAAATCTTTGTAATAATTTACTGCCATCAAACAAAGAACTTCTTGATCCGATATCCAACTACCATCCGTAGCCTTGAGAGCTTCAACGTAATTATGTCGACGCCTAAGCATCGTACATGAATGAAAGTATTTTGTATTTTTATCCCCATTGAGTATCCATTGATTTCTTGATTTTTGGAGCCACAAACTCTCCTCTTGTTGTAGGACCTCTTCAAGCTCCTTTTTCAACATGTCCTGTAAATCAACCAACCTATGAGAATAGCAAGAAATAATCGCTTTTTCAATACCTCATAAACGGGCCAACAACTTTCTCTTTTTCCTCCCTATTTGACCAAACACCTTCAAATTCCAATCAATAGCTTTGATTTGAAATGAATTAATGTTGGTTAAAACATCCAATTCATTATTCCAAGTTTCCAATAAGAAATTCTTAAATTGAGGATGGTCTTGCAATGCAGCAATAAAACGGAAAGGTCGATTCCCCTGAACTCTCGTGGTGCTCTGGGCTTTAAGGAGAAGGGGGCAATGATCCGAACTCACCCTGTCTAAATGCAACACCATAGTAACAGGGAAAACATCCGCCCAAAACCTATTCATAAGGTAACGGTCTAAGAGTTTAAAAAGATTACATCTTCGCCATGTAAACTTCGGTCCCCGAAAGTCCACTTCGAATAACCCCAACTCAAACACAAACTCTACAATCAAGTTACTGACTCCTGATCCACGACATGATCCTCCCTCTTTTTTATCGAGCTGAAGGATGGAATTAAAATCACCACCTAAAGTCCAAGCTTCATACTCACCTGGATCAAGATTTATAAGATGCTTCCATACTAACTTTCGTTTCTCCACTTGAGGGCTTGCATAAACTACAGTAAAATATAACCATCTATTTGCAACATCACCAATATCTACTGTGAATAAATTGAGGCGAAATAGTTAAAATTTCAACATTAAACTATATTTACAAAGGAGCCAATTCCACCACTAAACCCAAAAGCTTCAACTCTAAAATAATTCTGAAAACCGAATATCCGAATAACTTTCTCGACAACATTTCTACTAATCCGAGTTTCTAGCAGTGCAACAATTTCAGGTCGATTTTCTCGACAATGTTCCCAAAAATAACATATGAAAGTTGGGCTACCAACGCCCTGACAATTCTAAAAGAGAATATTAACCATTAAATAAAGAATATTCGGGAGTACACCCTTACTGGGGTAGATTCAGGTTAGTGTTCTCACCATCTGGTAATATAACCTCTTCTGTTACTGTTTCCAACAATCCCACTGCAGGCGCATTTTCTTCCTCCCCTCCATTCTCACATAAGAAAGATGAGCTCTCTCCATGCAGCATGCTGCGATCAAGATGTGTGCTGAATTTTACATTCCGCAACCAATCTGTAAAAACAGTCGGGGAGAATTTGAAATCTTTGTTTTTCTTCTTTACTTTCAATCCCTTAGAATTCTCTCACCTCGTTTATTTCCTTTATTCCGAATGCTCTTGCTTGCGATATGAAGTCGTCTGTCCTCCAAAATGGTGATCGCCAAATGGTTACCCGCAGCTCTAACATTGCGATGTTCTGTCACTTGAGGAGTAACACCATCCTTCATAGCAATCACATTTATCTGCTGTAAAGTCCGAATTCCCCCACATTTTTTTGATCGACCTGAGTATTCCATTCTGTTCTCACCAACCTCCATTAACCTACAACATGACTTTCCTTTTCCACCTGCTGTAATGTTCGAATCTCCTTAGTTTGTTCCATCGAACGGTGACTTTTACCTTTTACTCGTGTATCAATTCGAGAGTTATTAGCCGTACTACTCTTATTGATGGTTTCAACCACTGCAACCTCCGGAATTATCGTACAATCTTTCTCGATGTCATTAATTTTTCCACCTAAGATAGCAAACCGAGATCCTCTTGCATCCTCGCCACTTGTTTTCATATTTGGATCAGGATTTTTCTTCGTACGTCTTCTACGCGTTTTAGTTATCATCCATGGTCCAAAACCCGATTCCCCGCCATCTACTTCTTTATTTAATTCTAAGCTTGAACCACTTGCTACTCCTCCCTTACTAGTATTCGCTTCAACAGAGCCACAAATATCATTCGAATGCCCATATACTCCACATTGGAAACATATTTACTGCAGTTCTTCATACTCAATCTTTTTCCAGAACCCGTCAATTTTAGGCATGAAATTAATGGTTTATTAATTCACTAACACCGCCAAATGAGCAAAATAGCCTCTCCCCCCGAATTAGTGCTATAATCAATCTTCACCACATGACCAATAACCATGGCAATGCGATGAAAGATTGTTTTGGAATAGTATCTATAAGGAAGACCCGTTCTAACCCAGACAATTACCTGCGATGGATGCTTTTCTGACATGGAAAATGTACGACTCCATGGTTAAACTGTAAGATAGCTTCCGAAAATCATCCACGGTCCTTCCATCAAGACATGAATATAATCCTGCTCACTCTCAAACTTCACCAGGAAATAATCATTCTCTAAATCGATGACTTGGTATTGTCCTTGAAGCTGCCATAATAAACCAATTCGATTCACCAACGTTTTATAACCAATGGCACGTCCCAGGAGCCTGACTATCACCGAACGTCGCATGCTATATTCAATTCTATTGTGTACTTGATCTGCAAATTGAATCACAGGATACGAACCATTATTGTCCACGATACATTCACTATCCAGAATCACCACCTCGTCCATAGCCTAAAGCGAAACAACGTTCACCGTCTGCTTCAATTGGCCCATGACTGCACTGCATAAGATTGTTTTTCCTGTTGCCGAACTCCCTCTCTAGCACTATCCGCATTCGACTGCATCTCCATACCATTCTGATCTTCATCCATTCGATCACCATTCATCTTTTTATTACGAACTTTCTTCGAAACATGCTGATCCTCGTCGGGGAAAGGGGAACCCGATCTCTCCAAAGATGACGATGACAACACTTCGATCCCATGAAGATTTCCAGCGAGGTTGCCGCCGATCGGAGGAGGTACCAGGGAAACAAAAACAGTCAGCGGAGGGTTGCAACAATCCCGTAAGGGAGGGGTAGGATTTTCGCTAGGCATTCTGCTTTCTTCTTTCTATTATTTTATATTTTTTGTTTAGACAAAAATTAATAGTTTAGAGTGATTATAAGATATTATTTATTCATAATTTCTTTTAATAATAATAATACTTATTTTATTATCAGAGCCACTTAATTCGTCTTAATAAAATATAATCTAAATCATTATTAATAAAAATACCAATTTATTTAAATTTAATTATGAAAATGCAAATAATTAATATAAAATTATTTTTTAAACGTAACATAGAACTACTACAATTTACTCGAAACAAAAATCAAGGTTTCGTGATTAGTGAGTTTACTATTTTATCGCTGCCAAAAACAGAGCGCATCTCCTCCCAACCCTTATTTATCGCTGCCGCAGGCGTCGCTGCTGCAATCCTCCATTCCGGTTTTGGCAGCGGCAATGGAAGCACAAAGTATGTATGGGAAGGGACAATTCCTATACAGATCCATCCCACGAATCCCAAGTTACCGCTCTGCCTCTTCCTCCTGCTGCTCTGGTCAACTCTCTTTCTTTTGTGTTTCTCTTTTTTTTCTTCTTTCCTTTTCTACCTTGTTTGCTAATTCTAAATCATTTCAGGTTTTAGCTCCACGGATCGGATATCTGCCACTGTTAGCACCTTTGATTAAGCCTTATTTAGCAGCACACTTCCTCCCGGGGTTGATACTATTTGGTTCGGTTACAATGGCATCCCTCTCAAATGGTTCTTCGTCTAAACTTGTTTTGAAATTTGTTTTGTATAGTTAATTACTCATATATATTTGAAACTTGAAATGAGCAAGCTGTTCTTCGTTGCAGGTACATACCTACTGGAGTTCTTTTCGATCTTTTGTGTCCCGAGCCTGAAAGGCCGGAACACACTGTAGGTTCCCTTTAACTACTGTTATTATATGATATAAATCAGTGACTGCTTTTCTGTTCTAGGTTGCCTGTGAATATTGTGCCCTTCTAGATCAATGCTGAATCATAGTTTCTTTTCTACTAAATACAACGATTATGAACTAATTGTGTTTTTCGAACTTTGATGATTTAAACCTACCGCAAAATTGTCAACATTAAGAAAAAAAATGGGATTGAAGAGATAGAATCATTTTTATGTTTGCGTAATCCTTAATTTATCCCATTATTAATTATTAGGTTTAAGGTTTTAATCTTCTTGATTACAGGTCCATTTTAGAGGATATCCTGGAAATGTATTGATACCGTGTGAAGGTGAAGATTCTGTGAAGTGGAGTTTTATAAACTCATTAAAAGAGGTTAGTAAAGATGTCCTAGAAATTGATGACGCTGTTTTCATGGGAAATTCACTGCTACTGATGGGCAAAATGCTAACAGTTCTACTAGGTATTATACTGGTGTATGTTCACATTTATTTTTCTCATTCATTGCTTTGCATACTTGAAAATGAAAAAGGAAAATAAAATTTTTATTTTGTATCATTATATCCTTTGTAAGCTAAGATAAAAAGACAACATCTAAAAGATGGATTATTTTGTAAATAAGCACCCTACCGAACAAATCCTTAATTCTGTGAATGTTTTGCTAGCTAACTAGCTGATAGGATTATAGAAATGGTCATTCTGGCATCTTTTGAGATTCTAGAGTTTGGCAGTTCTTGTTATATTTTTAAGATACCTTTTTAGTTATTTTGTAAGATGCTTATTTTGAATTTTTTAAAGTAAAAGAAGTACATAGCAAAGTAAATCAAAATCCCTTAAATGCTGGATGTTGATGTTTCTCATTATGCTTTCTTTAACTTTGTTCTAATTTGGAGGATTTTTATCATGTATATGCATAGCGCCATATCCACTTAGTTGTTTTTGTTTATTCTCTGATTTGTCTCAATTTGAAAGAATTCTTTATTTGAATTGAATAATTAAAAGGTGAATCATCACTTTTTATCTGAAACGGTGTTCTATTCTGCCAACAGGCTGCGTACATAATGAATGGAAATTGCAAGAATGTTATGAACATGTCTCAGTCTGATCAGTCGGAGCTTTGGCATTCTGTCATGAATGGTATTTATGTTCGTTGATATGGACTCAGGACTAGTGTTTTAGCCTTGATTTTGCATCTCATTAATTAATCTATGATCTAGCATGGATCAACATAGTTTTTTCTTGAGTTAAAATTTTACTTTAGGATGCAAAAGAGCACTTTGATACTTTATTACTTATGCCTTTCCTGTTTTGGCCCGTTGAGTAATCTGTGCTTATCCACTTACATTGGCCATTGCTTGATTATGCTTAATGGAATGAATTACTGGGGGAATTGTATCTAAAATGACCATACTTCTAGCTATTTTGACAAATTATGGTTTTCAACACTTGAATGTGTGTTATTCTGTCGGCTATTGCTTTCTTGAATTGGCCCATTTCATATTTCTTATAGCCAACAAATGCACTTACCCTTCCCTTGCTATTTTGTTCATAGGCATAGTCTCAGTTGGTCAAAGGTTACACTTCAATGGTTGATATAAACTTATGTTTTTGTTGAAGTCGCACACACACACATAGATGTATACTAAATATGCGCAAATCAAATTTTCATTTTGCTTCTCCTGGTCCTGAAGCTGGAAAGCCTGTCTCCCTTTCATGCATCCTTTTTCATAAATCCCTATTGTTCTTCCATTTTGTTGCTTTAATGAAGACACCACTTTCCTGATTTTTTCGAATTTCCACCTGCAGCTCCTCTCCTACTTTGGTCTGTTTTTTCTTTTGCATTGCTTCAGTCTTTGTTGATGTGGGAGAAAGAAATGAATGGATGTTTTAGGTACATTCAATTGTGTAAATGGTGATTTGTTTAGAAAATAAATAATAAACTATTTCATGACTCATGTTTATGTTTTCTTCATAAACTGTTCATTACTTATGGGTTTTAAGATTTAAGATAATATTCTACATGCAATGAGAAAGAAGTTTCAAAATAAAATTCAGGAGCTGATATTATAATTTGTAGATCGTTTATGATTCAAGTATTGTGATAGCTTAAACCAGAACTGTAGTAAATATGAAATGTAAGTCTCCAGATTGAGATCAGGAAGAAAGAATAATAAAAGCTCATCCAGGTGGTTAGTCATCTGGTTTCTAAGGGAATACAATGAACTTTTTCTTAAAAATTATTTCCAATGGCTTTATTGACTTTAATTTCATAAATAGGAGTACATGACATAGTATAATGAACTTAATAAGAATAACTAGACAAGCCTTATATTTGCTTGACATTCTAACAAACAAATTTGCAATTTCTTTCAGCCTAGTTTTGCCGCTCGCAAATTCTCAACTCCTCTTATCTGGATCGTAATCCAATCTTTTCTAGAAATGTGAGTGTTTACTCCATCTCAGATGGAAATGGTATCCATAGTTGGAAGATTGTTCCAACATATCAATAGACATTGAAAATTTATAATATCACCATTCAAATTCTTTATCACGTGTCTAGTGTTCATTCTAGTTCAAATAAGTAAAAATGACATAATTTTTTTGGATATCTGAAAAAAGGAAAAATGGGTGTTCAATTTGTAGTTAAGAGGGTTAAATGTTTGAATCATAATAATTGTTTTTAGGATATGCTGTATTTTCCTCTGGTTCTGCAAAACATGGTAGTACTGATTGTACATCAACAATACAAATATGCACGTCTCGCTTCTTTATGTGCCAATTCTTTCTTCCTCCCTCATCATTCCCCCCCTGTTTTCCTTAACAAATTCTTGATGTCCCAATTTTGAATTGACACTTAAAATTGGTTTCTGACAGGTAATATGGAAACCTACCAACGAGTCTCATCTAAGCTTAAACTTGCAACCATTGATGATGAGTCTCGAAGTTTGTGCTCGCAAAAATATCAACAATCCTTTGGTGAAACAGATTTTACTGCGCAAGTCAAGACAGGTTTGCATATTTGTTATTATGCTTAAAGACAGACCCATGATTTGCATCCATTCAAGTTATTGGATTCTCATGTTTCATAACAACTGTGGAATATTATAATGCTTTGGGTTGTGTAATTCTAGCAAATCTGAGAATTATCTGAGTGGTCTTAACACTTCAGTTAGTAGGAAAATAGAAAATAAATAATATAAAATCTTTTTTTGATAAGAATTTCAGGCCTCGTTAAAACCCCCCCTCTTGATTAATGGAGCTTATAAGTAATCTCTTAATCAGCGGAAGGGGGAAAAGAGTGCCTTAGGATTTTATTGAACCATACAATTACATAAGATACAGCCATTAATACACCCCTTCAAAACCAAATAAGCTCGAAACAGCATAAAACATCCAATCAAAAAACACAGAATCAGCCAATTCCTGCTTTAGCTAAGGCATCAGCCTCTAAGTTTACTGTCCTATTAACCCATCTAACAACACCTTCTAAAACGTTAAGCCTGTGAACAATATCTCTAATCAAAAAAGCATAAACATCAGGAACTAAATCCACTTCCTTAATCCAGTCTACAGCCACCTTGAACCTAAAGAAATCTTAAATTGAGAGCTAATGACATATAGTTTAAAATCAGTTGTTATTGGTCCTTTATCAAATAAAACCCCGGAATATTCTTGACAGTTCTGTTACCTGAATCAGTTATATGTCTATCCCCAATATGTGTCTTTTGCACCTTTTCTTGAACGTGGCCTGTTCTTTACGTATAATGATGGTAACATTTGAATGTTTATGTTGACAGTCTGCTAATCCTTACTAGTAAGAAACCTTAATTAGCAGCTTAGCAAATAGCAATTCAAACTATTAGAAAGCACGTGGGAATTAGATTCAATCATCTGTGCACTTTCACTACAACTTATCATTCAGTTGCTGAATCCCACCGAATGCTATCAAAATATTGTGATGTAACTTGTTTTCACATAACCAATCTGAATTGCTCGGTACAGTACCCGTTATGTTTCATGTTAATGCATATTGTGTACCTATTTGAGCATGCACTAATCAATGAGGCATGTGCATATTAATCATTTCATGTATATATGCTTAAAGAAAAACAATTCAGGTTACATTTACATTTGGTTGGGATGTCACTTCACATATTATCTTTTTATCATCCTTGTTGATCACATTTTAGGAAGAGTTCCGGTTAGATTATATGTTTTGAGCGTAAGAGAGGACTTCGATGATTTGGACGAGATGCCCCGAACTGATAGTTGGGAGAAGATCTCTTATGTAAATCGTCCAGTTGAGATCCACAAAGAACGTAAGAATGCCTCTTATGTAAGCAAACATATGAACTGGCAGTTATTGCGTGTATAAAAATGAACTGGTTGCTCATTTTCATCCCCTTTATTTCAAGTATAGTACACTGTGGATCTGAATTGGACACTAATTTGTTTCTCTCCCATTGCATCCCATTGTGAATGTAATTTTTGTAATCTTCAGACAATATGCTTTGTTCTTTGTTTGCCTTTTGTGCTATCTGTATTTCTCTTCCTGTGCAGATAAATGCTTCACTTTACACGATGCTTTGAAAACCCTTGTGCCGGAATTATTTTTGGATGAACCTTTAACGAATGTAAAATTAGGTGGAGTAGATTTTGAGGAGGCAGTTGGAAATCCCAATGAAGATGTGAGCAGTGACAAAGTAGTGGAAGACCAGGGACAAAATGAATATGAACACCCAGAGGCTGGCCACATTCCGAGCAGTGCCGAAATCAAGCTTATACGAATCCAGGGTATTGAACCTAAGTTAGAGATACCCTTTTCTTGGGTGGCAAACAATTTAATAAATCCGGACTACTTCCTTCACATCTGTGTCTATGTCAAAGTTGCCCATTAAAATCCCACATTTAGAGATGATACATGTGGATTTGTTTTTACCTTTGTGACAAGGAGGTTAGCGTCTCTTCTTTTAATTCATTTAAATTGTGGATATGTTGATTACATCTACCTCTTGGCAAGAAAAAGAAGCCACTGTGTTGCTTGTAGGTAAACCTGAACCGAGGATAGGTTTGGCATGGGTTTACTCAGCCAGACAAGTTTCATCACTTTATTATTATTATTATTATTATCATCATTATTATTAGGGTAAACTACTTAGTTGACCACTTAACTATTTAGCCTTTTTACTTTTGTCACCGATTTTTCAATTTTGTTTAATCAGATTACTAGCTGTTAATATTTGATGGAAATGTGGATGTGACAGTTAAAAGAATTGGTATTTTTTACATGTAGTCCTTAATATTTATATATTTTCTCAAATTGGTCATAATTTAAATTTAATTTAATAAATTAACAATTCAATCAGGATTTGACATGTGTCAGCACAAGAGCATGCATGATTGGAGGATATTTTTTTTTATTAATTTAAATTTATTTAATTAAATAATTTTTCTATTTAAAAACATCCTCAATGGTTTATTACTTATAACAAATTGTATTTATCATTTTAAAGCTTGATAATGGTAAAAGAAAATAAAAGTAAAAATAAATTAGAGATAATTTTTTTTAATATTTAATTCAGGTTAATCTATTAATAAATTAATTACTGCTGATTATAAAAAATAATTTTTTTGATTATGAATAGATTTTAAATTGCTGATTAAATTTTAATGCTGATTAAATTTTAAATTGCTTAAAACCGTCTTTGGTTTAATATCAAGACTCTGGTTTTGTTTTGTTTTGTTTAGGCAAAGTTATTATTAATGTTTAGGAATTTATTTTAATTTTTAATCGTATAATGATTAAAAGCTAATAATAATAAATAAAAACAAATTAAGTGATCCTTACATTTTTTTAATTTAAATTTTTTATATTTTAAATATAATACCCTTTGTCTTGAGTAATTTTATTTGATGTTAGCTATAATAATTTATATGTTTTTTAAAATTTAATTGTATAAAGATTGAGAAATTAATAATAAAAAGTAAATACACAAATTAAAAATAATAAAAAATAAATATTTGATTCAAATATTTTTATAATCATTAGTAATTAATTTATTAATAGATTAACTTGAATCAAATATTAAAAAATTAATTCTAATTTATTTTTACTTCTATTTTCTTTTACCATTAGCAAGCTTTGAAAGGATAAATACAATTTGTTTTACGTAATAAACCATTGGTGATGTTTGGTGCAATGGTTGGGGTGTTGTTATCCATCCATTTGGTCCCAGATTCAATTCCACCCAAGGGCAAATTTCATTCCCATAATTTACTATCCAATTAATCACGGTGACACATATCACCTCCTGGTTGAATAAAAATTATTTAATTAAATAAATTTAAATTAATAAAAATCTTTCAATTATGTATTGACACGTGTTACTAATGTGTCATACTTCTATGTCGAAACATATCAGATCCTAATTGAATGGATAATTTATTAAATTAAATTTTAAATATGTTCAAATTGAGAGAATATATAAAATATTAAGGACTAAATGCAAATATATATTAATTCTTTTAACTGCAGTATTTTCATTAAATATTAACGATTAGTGGTATGATTAAAGAACGGTGGCAAAAAGATTAAATAGTGAAATGGTCAACGAAGTCGTCGTCGTCAGCTTATCTGTTAAACTTGTTAAGTAGTTTACATGTGCGTTGGACGAAATCAAAAAATGAATTATTCATTAAAACAATCAACCAATGCTAATTAATCATATTTGTGGAACTATAAAGAAAGTGCAATGATATGTTCATTACTGGAATATTCTATTCTATCAAAAATCCCAAGTACTGCTCGGCTTGGGTAACCGATTTCTTGTCCTTCATCAAGCCCAAATGTAAAGTATACAATCAATTGACTTTTTAATGTTAATTTTAAAATATTCTATTTCAATTTTTGTTTTAAATTTTTGTATTTATCCATAATTAATCGATTCATATTTTAAAAGTTATACAATCCTTCCTTTATTCATATACACGGTTGATATGTAGAATTATAACTTTTACTTTTAGAATAATCAAAATTTGTTTTTTCACTTATTATATTTTGAAAAAATTATATCTAAATTACATGGGTGGTCTCATTTATTTTCATAGCACTGATTTTGGTCATCGATTTAAAAAATATCAATTTTGATCTTTTAATAATAATAATTTTCCAAGTCCACTCCAAACTTGCCTCGTGGATCCGATGATGCATGTCGAAATAGACAATACTTCAATCAGCTAGTGCTAGCTGAAGGATCATATGGGCAAGTAAAGTGAGCTCGTCAACTCTCTTATCCAGGGCCGGTCCTTACTGTTTTTAGGCTAAGGACGAAAGTAAAAAATGAGCCCCTAATATAAAAAGATTAAAAAAATATGTAATATAAAAATTTTATTAGCTTTTTTTTTATTAAATTAAAAATTAGTAATTCATTATAATATAAAATGTGTCAAAAAATATATTTAAGAATACAAATACTTATAAAAAATATTACATTTGATCATTTTTATGCAAAACCATTGATGATAGTATCAACATCAATGCTTTTTAATATATTTTTCTCAATACATAACATAACATTTGAAAATAAAAGAACGATCTTATCTAGAATTTGAAAATATATAAAATTAAAAGAAAGAATTTGAAAATGTGATCTACCTAGAATTTTAAGAACAATCTTCAATATGATTCAAACACCATAATTGATAATAAACAATTGTGACTTTACGTGTGAGAGAAATATGATAAATTAAAAAATGAGAATAATAATTTTCAGATGAATCGTGAAACATGAAAGAGAAAAGAAGCATGCTAATTACACTTAAAATTTTTCATATCATTAAGTTTTGAAAAAAAAATAATGTTAATAATTTTTTTATTGATATGAAAAATCGGGAAAAAGATTTGGTGAATCGATAGTGGGAATTCGGAAAGACCAAAATTAAAGAGTTTAATTGATTTTTTTTTGAATTTTGAGAAAGAAATATTAGATTAGAATTGTTGAAAACATTTTGAAGTTTCGATATAACAAATTAAGTGTTAATGAATTTTAAGATTTTATATATTCGATTAAATTATTCAAATATGAAAATTATTACTCCAAGTTTTCAAATGTTTATTTCAAAACCTTACTCAAGTGTAAAATTAAGTTTCAAATCTTAAAATATTTTTAAAACAATTTTTACAAAGTATTTAGAGCCATATTCGAGCCAAAAATAAAATTTATTTAGTATGATATTGATATCCCCTATAGGGTACCGATACCCCTATGCAAGTTTTGGTTCCGAGAAATAACAGAATGCTCGGATGGTACCGATCCCCCCATAGGTATTGATACCCCCATGCAATGGTACCGATACCCCCTCAGGAGGTACCAATACCCTCAGGCATATAACCATCAAAATATTTGAATTTTACACTGCAGGTATCAATACCCTATGAAGGGGTACCGATACCCCCACGCTCCAAGTTGTTTTATTAATTGTTTTCACACTTAAACGACTCCATTGACTCCACTAATCATCCCCAACGTTCAGAATCAATTGAAGGAGTATTTAAACAAGTTCTGAAGCCATTGATCAATAAGAAATCATTGAGAAACAAGAGAGAAAGCATCAAACACCAAGTTTGTGAAATTTAAACCAATTTTCCTTTCAATATTCATTTTGCTTTCAAGAACACACATTGTGCTCATTTGTAATCATCTTTGAGTGTTCTTTTCTTGTTCTAGAATTGTGCAAACGCCTTACCTTGTGAGTTTTTCTTGTAAGTTTGCAAAATTTGTGTATTTCTCTTTGAGAGAGAGTGTGCTCAAGAATCGGGGTATAATTCTTGAGGGAGTTGTAAGGTTACTCTTTGTACTCAAAAGAAAGAACAAATTAGTGAATTTGTTGGAAAATCCTTAGTGTGGATAGCTAAGGTAGTGGACGTAGACTTTGGTTGAGAAAGTCGAACCACTATAAATCGCTGTGCAAATTACTTTCAATTTTCTGCAAAAGCTTCCACCAAATTTTTAATTGCCAATTCATCCCCTCTTGGCCGATTCCGTCGATCGATTAACTCAAAAATTGGTATCAGAGCCTTACTCATTTGAAGGTTTAATCACCTTTTGAGTCGATTCGGGAAGAGTTACATCGATAATCAAGTCATCAATGGTCTCTACTTCAAACTCCGACTCCGGTCTTGATTCATTGCCCGTCAACAAGCCTCCTTTCTTCAATGGAGCTAATTATGCTTATTGGAAGAATAGAATGATGTATTTCATTCAAGCAAGTGACATGGGAACATGAAATATCATAGAAGACGGATACATAAAACCCTCCACACATCCAAGATTGTGGAGTGAAGGAGAGACAAGAATGTTCCAGCTCAACTCCAAAGCTATCCATATTATCTTTTGCACTCTTGGACCGGATGAATACGAGAGAGTTTCATCTTGCACAATCGCCAAGGAGATATGGGACAAATTACAAGTCACTCATGAAGACACAAACGAGGTAAAAGAATCTAAAATTAGTCTTTTAACTCATAGCTATGAACATTTCAGGATGAAACCGGATGAAGATGTCAAAACTACGATAGATAGATTCTCCACGATTGTCAATAGTCTCAAATCATATGGAGAAATCATTCCAAATGAAAAGCTTGTAAGGAAGTTAGTCTACTCTCTTCCAAAAGCTTGGCAATAAAAGAAGACGTCGATCATCGAGGCTAAGAACTTAAAATCTTTGACCCTCGATGAACTTATTGGCTCTCTTCTCACTCATGAAATGATGTTTAAAGAAGAGGAATACCTTGAGAAAATAGAGGAGCCAAAGAAGGAGACGGAGAAGAAGAACGTGGGAGTTGCTCTCAAATCAACAAAAGATGAAAGTGATTCAGATGAAGATGAAGATGACGAGGAAATGACATTGTTTTCCAAACGGTTCAGAAAAATGATGAGGCCTAGTCGAGGAAGAAAATTAAAACGAAATGAAGGCTTCAAAAATGAACCAAAAGAGAAGGATCCGATCATTTGCTATGAATGCAAAAAACCGGGGCATGTCAA